TATAAGCTCTGAGCAATGAAACTGATTTCCTAGGACAAATCAATTTGAGAATCTCAGCTGTGAATCAAAATAATTTTTCAGTTTCTGGGTATAAATTGTCAGATTAAGAGGTCTTGATATGCTTTTTCTTCTAACATGCACTGCTCCTATACAAAATCAAAATTCTCTCTCTCTGGTATTTATAAAAAAATGCCACAACACATTAATGGATTGTTTTATACCCTTACTTCAACCATTACATGATGTATAAAAAAATCAAAACCACTTTTCAACAACAATGCTTCATTCAATATTCCTGTATGTAACAGCTGCTTAAGTAACTGATTTTCATATCAGAATCCATTTGCTCTCTTTTTGTACATGAGAGGAGTTATTTTCCTGTGTGCTTGTGACTTTCAGTAGCAAGTAAACCTTAACCAATGAGACAAACCTACATAAATATTCACTTCCCTATAATTTTCTGTTCATTTTCTATGCCATCTTGTCCATCAGCATGGTTTTCTGATGTTCAGCCATTTCACCTCTCTTCTGAGCTAATGCATACACATTATTTTGAAAAGAGAAACTAGCAATAAGGTATTCCAGATATATTTGAAACAGTGATAATTTCATAGATAAATTCAAAGCTGACATCACTTCAAAGATTCTTAAGAGTGCAGGTCTTAGGTGGTCTGCAGATAATACAAATTTCTAGATATAACACATAAATTTTCTGCAGAGCACTGTCTGAACCTGGATAATATGCAATTTGCCACACCACAGTGACATGCTTGAATGAATTCTTACATTTCATGTTTCTTTGTGCTTTTAAAAACCTCAAAACCAAACCAGATGTAAAGGAAAAAAGGGGATTTGTCTTAGAAAGACAACTGAAAAGGAAGTTTAGTGACAGCCCTGTAATTTGGTCACTTTAAATTTATGCTTTGTAAAACACACGCAGATTCTTTTTCAAGCTGTAGATGAAACTCATCATCCATAAAGTCTTTATTTTATAACATCACTCACTCAGAGAACAGATCCTCCAAATCCCCATTCATATTTTCTCATGACTTTTCTTGCTTGCCAAAGCTGTTGAGAGGTTTATAGTTTGTGCCCTTCACAGTTTGTTAGCTTATTTTTACTGAATTAAAATATATTAACATAAATGACAGAAATAATTTACAGAGTTTAAAGAAAAACAATTCCAAAATATTTTGGCAGTATTATCATAGAATTTTTTCAAGAATATAAAGATGCATACTATAAACATTCTTGTGCAAGTTAGGAAAACAGATTAATTACAGAGGGAAATCTATAAATAGTTTTAATCAGTGTTATTGCTGAAATCAAAGAACTAGCAATAAGAAAATAATACAATGAATGGAAGAGATTATATAAAAGAAGAATCTTAACATTTCTTTAAAAATTAGCCAATATAATAGCAAATTTCAAAAACCAGTGGCCCAAAGTCAACCTCAAAACTGTATCTATAATTCACATAAAGAGATTTACAGTATAATTGCATTATAATCTACAGTCATATCAATCGGACTTATAGAATGTAAGTGGAAAATGGAAAACATAATGGTGAATCTTTTCAGTGTTCAAATAGAATTTTTGTCCTATACAGCATTTTAAGCTGCAAAAATGGGGTCAAATAGGATCACATCAATCAAGGGAGATACAAACTATGACAAGGGTCACCTAGCAAGGCATTGAACTTCTTATAAGAAAGCAAATTATAGGGTGAAATAATGATCCCAATTACAATACATGCTTTGATTATAATTTTTCCCCAAAATTTGTGTAAACCAACAAGATTAATGCATTTAAGTTCTAATGGGAAAAGAAATTTAGATTAAATATAAAAGCAAGAATTCTGGAGGAGTTTCACTGTATAACTCCCAAACAGATTTTTCAAGCAGGTCCCTTTCCACTTAAGTTCTGTTTCAGTCAACCAAGAAACTCTGTCCTTATGGAATTACTGTAAAAGATATAATTACCTCAGAAGCACCAACAATCTGCTCCATTTTATTTATTTATTAGTTTTGATTAAAAAAAAGAAAAAAGAAAAAATAAAGCATTGCAACTAACTCTTTCAAAGGTGCCATAAAAAAAAAATTTTCTTCCTCTCTATGCATGTCATTATGCCATGGAAATGAGGAACAAAGTGGTCTGTTAAAAAAATGTCAGTTTTTGACAGAATTTTCTACAAGTACAAGGCAGCAATTACTTCAGAGTGTTGGCAAGAAATGGAAAATATGAGTACCTTCACATAGGAGGAAAAGGAGAAGAATGTAACAAGGGTGTCAGGATTTAGGAACATCTTTCAAAAATCTTTCAAGCTTTTTCTTCTTCCCTTTGCAAATCACTCGCTTCAAAGTTGTGAAAATTACAATTGGCAGTGTCTAAGTTCTCTCTACTGCTACAAGAAGGATTTCTGGAATTCCAAAGTCTGTATCAATCACTTCACTGTTCAACCTCTGGATTTTGGTTGGTGCTGATTGAAGTGTTTTAAGGTTCTCAGTTTGTGTCATGAGGATGGAGTAGAAAGCAAATTATGTGCTCAAATATATAAAGTATTTTTTAGTTGCCATATTTGTTTCTTTCATAACCAGATATAGAGATAGAGGTAATTCTGGGACACAATTAATCTGATCAATATTAAACAACTGCAGCAGCAAGACAAGTTTTCTGCTACAAAAGTGTTATCTTTAGAGGCATCTCAGACAGAGACACTCCTGCGGATGCCCAAGTCAGATGCCATGTAACTAATCAAGACTATGAAGCCAAAAGCCCTGAAGCCATTGCTTTGCCTGTATTATCAGGAATTCAGGATTTCAGACATTTACATGACTTAATTAGCACTTTTTATTTGGAAAGTACACAGGTTCAAGAGTTAGGGGAGTTTTGGTTTTTTTTAAGAAAGTCACAACAACCAGTACTAAACAAGAACTTTACAAATCCCTTCTATTTTTTTTTAATACATCCTTTATTTGCCTTCAATTTTGTACCATATTGATATTCTTTAGAGACACTTGAAATCACCACTCTTCATAGACTAATTGATGATTTTGTTACTACTATCATTACAGGTTTGGTGACAGAAAGTAAAGTCTCTGTTGACGTTATTGTTTTTACTTCTGAACACAAAGAATTCACATACTAGAGTTCTGGGACTTTTAAACTTAAATAATCCCCTTTTCCTTAGAAACTAAGAAATATTCAGAAATGTATCAGCTTTGTTTCTCGTAATTTAACAATTTATTTTAGGAACATAAATCCCTACTTCCTAGACCAAATATTCTGAATGTGACCAGCAATGCTTAGACTTTTAAGGGTTTTCTTTGCTTTTAAACTACACTGGGTGCTCCCCATGAGCAGTGAGCCACACACAGAGCCACAGTCATGGGGGAGGCATGGCTATTATTGTCTTCAATATCTTCTAAGATCTCAGGAAGGGATGCCACTTGCTTATAGCAGATTTTGCTGGGAGTTTATTCATTTTAGGTAGTAAAGGCCTGATCCAAACCCCGATGAAGTCAATGGAAAAAGTCTCCCATTGACTACAATGGGCTCTGGATCATGCCCTAAGTCCATTCTCTTCATTAATCCAGGATTAATAACAGGATGTTTTTCCAGTAGCTTGGAGTGCCTAAGATCCCAGAAATTTCAGCTGAACAAGTTCACTGTAGATTGTCATTCCATTTGGAATTTGAAATATGAAGTCTTGATCTTTTTCAGTGAGAAGAAAACTTTAAATGGAGGCATTTTCAGTTCCTGGTTATAGCCAATCCAACCAGTTCAGTGAAAATCCTTGGGCATCCTAATGAGAAAACAGGAAGAGCAAATAGAGCCAAAGAAATTTATGTTTTTCAGGGCACACTTCAGAAATACAGTGTAGACTCTGGTTTCACCAATGAATGTTGATGCTTTTGGAGAGATCAGTGTGGAGCCTGATTACAAAGAGCAAATTAAAAAATCATAACATACTTAAATATATAATGTTTTTGCTGTACTTTTTAAAATTAACAGATAAGGAGAGACATGACATTTTTCAAAGTGTTTTCTCAGTTTGCACAACAAAGCACCATCAGTTCATAAATAATGAAAAGTGATAAAAAGACAGTACAAATAGCAACAGTACCACTAAGTTTTCTGAACTTGCAGATGTGAATTGTGAATGTTATACAAATAAAAACTTTGACAGACAGACAGTAACTGGATAGAATAAGAATAGTGTTAATAAATCAGATGTATCTGTAATAGGATTCATTTTATTCAAAAATAAAAATCTGAAACACAGTTTATTATATTACTATTTAAAAATTGCATTTCTGATAAAGTGATGGATAGATCAGCCATTTCCAAAGATCTCTAGTGCTATTCACTATTCACATTTCATTAAATTGCCATTAGCACTATTTATTATTTTACATTGATTATTCATACAGACAAAAATGGATCAAAAGTTGAAGCATGTTTTTTAAACCAATTACTAATTGTTCGGCTAAACAGCGGCAGAGTTGCCATGTACCTTATAAGGATATTTATAAAGTTTTATTCTAGGACTTAAGAAATCAATGGAAATTTTCCATAATTTCAATAGTATTTGCTATTAAAATATAAGTAAATTTATTGACCTATAAATTCTTGCAAACATGTCACCATCCTCCCAATAAGCCAGTGAAATGTTAAGGTTTTGTGCTTTCAGTTTTACTTCTTTTTTTAGTGACATTTTTTCAATACTCTTTGACCACTCACATTTAGTTTTAAGCAATTTAAAAGCCTGCTGGCAACTCTTATACTTAATAATTTTAGAGATAAAGGAAGGAGGTCTTAAATCTTCACATCAAAATGCATCAGTTTTCCAGAGGAATAAGTTTATTTTGCATATATGTAAATAAAAACTTGCTCAGCCAAGGACTCTCCCAAAATACAGAAAAACTCATGTTTGGGTCCGTGATAAGAATCATCATGGACTCGTATATTTCTCTCCTAAATATCAGAATATTATAATAAAATGATGTCATTTTTACCTTTCTTTGACTAGATGAATTGAAAATAAAAGTAATCTTATTACTTTGCTGTAAAATAAACATGCAATTTTTCAAATCTCGCTAGTTTTTGCCAAAGAAAAATTTGCTTGTAATACAAGGTAACTTTATGACATCTAAAACTCACATAGTCATTGACCAATGTCAAGAAACACCTGAGTTGAGTCTAACATGTCCTCCTAGGTCCTTTTTCTCCTCCATCTAAAAATTCTGGTCAGATACACTACTTTAGCTTAGAATATAGTATTTAGTAGCACAGAAACTACCCCAATTGCAACTCTGTTGAACAAATCCAAGGACTCTTTTCAGTTTAACTCAGTGTCTTTTTTCCATCCATTCATTCTTGTTGAAATTCATTTTATTCAACATTGCTTCATCCAAGCCATAGTCTGAAAGAGAAAATTAAAGGATCCCACCACCTGGATCAGGTGAAAAAAAAGAGAAAATTAGCACAGTTTAAATGCTGTTTTCTGGAGCTAATATAGACAAAATAATTTCCCCTCTACTTGTTTAAATAAAAGTCATTAATTTGTTTTCATGTGGTTTTCAATTTATCCATTTATCACTTTCAGATGAAAGGTGTGGCTACAATCAGCACCATCAATAGACATCAACGCTCTCTAAGCAAGGTTTAGCAACTGCTTCCTTAACACATATATAGCTCGGCTACTAAAATTAGCCTGTGCCATTGCACTATGAATAATATCTTGATCTGTGGTTCCCATTTGATTTAACTAAATAAATATTACATTCCTGTCTTACAGTGACATTGGCAAGATTTCAAAACCTGGAAGCTGTCCAGGATGTACAATGCATAGAAAAGACTGTACATTGATTTTCAGACAAAAGAAAAAAATATCAGTCAAGAGGAAATGCTTTAATGGAGAGATCTTCACAGCAAAAGGCTGAATTGAGAAAAATTCTTTCTTGCCCTTACTAAATTTAGAGCAGGGAACTTAGAGTGTGCAGGAAAACACTCAAGAACCCTCATTAGAGGGAAAAGTTAATGACATGGTAGCATCCAATATATTCTTTAAGCTAAAGTCAACAATTAGAAAAGGTTATTCAGACATCAGATAGGTTGGTTCCAGCAGTTTTAAGTCTTTTCAATATACATGAGAGAGGTATTTCAGATCAGTCTGTAATATTCCTTAGAGACCTAGATAAATCAATAAACAAGGCTATAATGAATTTACAAGACAGTTTTGTCATTAGAAAACCTTGTAAGTTGCCAATAGTTTAATTCTTACAAGGAGTGGGAATTGCCCTCATGCATCTATCACCCTACACTCTTTAATTTAGGTTTTAAAATAAAAAAAAATAGACTTAATCACACAATTAAAAATAATGTTTTACTGACTGGGCACATCAATAGTTTGGGTAGAATTTTACTTTATCCCCTTCTATCCCCCTGCTATATTATTAAACCCAAGTAAAAATTTAAATTTTCCTAAATTTCAGATGCTCTAGAAGTCCTTCAGTTACCGTATTGCATATACCAATATGCTGTGTGAATGTGCACAGAAAAGTGATAACTAGCATATTTTTGGCCTTGCACCTAGGCCCAAACCAATAACTGTACTGCAAAACCTTTGCTTAGAGCAAAGTTAGGATTTTCAAATATTTGCCTGAATGGAGGGTAGTATATCTTTGTTCTAGTATTAGCCAGGCAGTGCTACTGGTACATACTCTGCCAGCCAACAAGTACATGGTCACCAGAACAAATCTGAAGGAAAATCAAGCCAGAGTCACACAGAATCGTAAATATTGTCAGAGACTTCCAAGATCATCTAGTCCAGCCATCAGCCTCACACCACCATAATCACCCCTAAACCATATCCCCAAGTGAGAAACCTGGACTCCTCTTGAACACTTCCAGAGAGGGTGACTCCACAACCTTCCTGGACAGCTTATTTCAGTGATTAACCATCATTCTCTGTGATAAATATTTTTCTAACATCTAGTTTGAACCTTCCCCTGCACAGCTTAAGGCCGTTTCTTCACATTCTTTTAACTAAAAAATGACAGAAGTGACTGACTCCCATATTACCACAACCTCCTTCAAGGTAGTTTTAGACAGCAATGGGGTCCCCCCTCAGCCTCCACATTCCCTTTCCCCTCTTCTCTCAACCACTGAAATAGCTTCCTTCTTTGTGTAAGAATATACCAACATTCAGGAATGTTTTCGAGGTGTTGCTTTGCCCACATCTCCTGCTTCAAGCTCTTATCTGAATCTTCAGCCCCTGATATCACATTCCTTTTACCTGTATTGTCAGGGATAGCAACTAATGACAAAAAATTGGATCAAAAGGCCTTATTTTCAGTTATCCCTGGTGTAAGCACTGATCTGATAGATTTAAAAAGAATGAATGGATAAATGTCATAAGGCTTCAGAAATTAATCCAACTATCAGTAATAATAATCTAGTTTTCACAATGAACATTTTGTTAAATATAATGGAGGTTTATTTTTGCTGGAGAGTCTGATGAACAAGGATTCTTAATAATCAAATACATTTTTCCCTTTTTTTCTTTTTTAAATTAAAATAGGAGAGAAAGCGTATGTTTGCTCTCATACCCCTTATTCATCATCTCATTTCCCAATTCATCCTCAAGCAAGCACATTTGGTAGATTAAACCTCCACTAGGAAAAAAAATTTGTTCCTGCTTTTTCTCTCTTTAAAAACCATCAAAACTATAGCATATCCTGAAAAGTTTTAAAATAAAGCAGCCTCCTTTTACCTACACACAAAGGAACTCTTAATTAAAAGTTACAGAAGGACAGACGAAAAAGCAATAACACAATATCAAAGAACATGTGGACGAGAAGGAAATGTTCACCCTGAGATATTTAATATTTTAATTGGTTATCTGGAAGAAATAAGAAACTGCATGTTATGAGTCTGATTCTAACCTTATTAAATTCAGTGGCAAAAAGCCCAGTGAGTTCAATGGGGCCAAGATGAAGCTCTAATTGAATTAGAAACTGACTTCAGATAAAATATGTTACCTTCTTTCCTTCATCTTCCCATTTTAGCAAAAAGAAATAAGAAAGATTTATTGAAATTCGTCACAGAGGCAGTCAATTGAGTTTGTTTTGACCTGGATCAAAAGAAATAAGTATTCATGAGGAGAGTAGTTTTGACTATAAATTCATTTAAATAACAATCCTGGACACTGAGCTTTCCAGTAGAAACTGACTACTCGACTGAAGTGTTTAAAACCTGTCCTGCACTAAAACCTGAGGTGTCTAAAAACCTTGGAGTCAGGGTAGGTCTATTTAAACACAAAAAATACGGAACTGTCCTTTAAAAAATAAGTGAAAATACAAGATTAGTTGATAGGAAAAGACCACTACTGTGTTTATAATCCCCTCTGCCAGTCAGCATTTGCTGTAAGCTCTGATTAGGTGTAAGTTCACATAAGGAGGGGCTGACAAATGAAAACTTCTCTCCCTTTTACTGTTTGCAAGATGACTTGTCAGTTGTTACTGGTAAAGCAGCAGCAATAGTACAGTAGGAAAAGTCCTCAGTTTCCCTTTTTCAACACCCCCTCAGGGTCTTTTTCCTCCAACTGCTGCTGGTTACTACTACCCTGTGACCTTGGTCACCTGTGAGAGTGACTGCATGGAGAGGAGGGGTGGCTGCTGTGTAAGAAATGTGTTGTGAAGCATCTCTTCTTCTCTTGGGATTTTCTTACAGCCCTCAGAAGTAGGAGCTCTCAAATTCTATTGAAATAGCAGAATTTAAACATGGAAAGACAAAAGCAGTATCAGAGACTGCCTTCAATGGTAAGATTTCAGATACTGTTACCAAAAGCTGTGAATTCAGCTTAATGGAAAAAAATTCTAAAACTAATTGCCTGAAGCACAACACTGTAGTTGTTCTTGCATAATTCTCTGTTAAAAAACTCATGTGAGAATTATTCCTTTTCTTTTTAAAGACAAACATTCATTACATTAATAGGGAAAATGAAAGGAGCAAAGAGGTGTCCCATTCCTTGGCCCACTGGTTAGAGACCATTTTCTTTCATGTGGCAGGCTAAGCTTGAAACCTCCCAGAGCAGTTTCAGAGTTTCATGAAAACGAATGCAGATGAGCAATCACCTACTAATAAATTAGAAGAATGTCACCTCCAATAAATTAGAAGAATGTCAGACAGCCTTAACGTTCCTCTCATGTTTTTTGGGGTTTTTTTTGATGACAGTAAAAAAAGCATTTTACAGATGCAGGACTTTATTTACAGTACTTTGGTTTCTGATAGGCTGAAGAGTCTAAAAAACTCCTGAAATTTTTCAGATGAGGCTGTTTCCTTCCTGAGTCTCCCTGCAGTGGCACAGACTTGGGGAAATGACAAGGACCCATCTTTCCTTTGGCTTCTGCTGTGCTTAAGGCAGAAAAGGTTCAACTCTCCAAGATTTCAACCAAGATTCAGCTTTGAGATATTAAATACTTTTAACTAGCATTCATGAAGAGGGATTTAAGGCACAGAAATCAATAACAAAATACAAATAAAGTTAGGGTGGAGTTTCCTTAGTCATGAGCTGGTTGAACAGATATTTCCTAATCATCATGATATTTTAGCTGCATCTTTTTTGCCCCAGAATAAAACACTACCAGCACCTTCAGAAAGTGATCAGATAAGTCTTTTTAATGTATGTTCATCATCATATAAATTGAAATATGTTTTGTAATGCCAAGCATAAAATATTCCGAAAACAGATGAAAGGCTTCATTTGTATTTCTCTGTCCAACTTCTTTGTATAATATCAGTCCAAATACTTGCAGCAGCATTAGCTTGGGCACATTTGCAGTTTTCAGCAAGCTGATGACTGCTTATTGCTGTCTGGGGACATACAAACTCCTGTGCTCGTAATGGAATGCCCATGTATCTGGGAGATGTGCATAATAAGTAATGGAAAGCATGCCACAATAGAAAATTGATTGCATATGTCAGCATAAACATCATATTTTAACAAATTAGTCAGTATTAAACTCCACAATATGCATGACTTGGAGTGGGGAGAGATTCATTACTTTTGTTCAAACTTGAGTTTTCTGCAGATTTTTTAATCTGGAATGAATTTTCTGCTGAAACCAACAAAGTCAAAATGCTGCAATATTGTCATTTCATGTTCATTGCATTTATTAATTTTATGAAACTTCAATAGAGATCTTGGGGAAGGCTTGCATAAGCATCATCCTTGCATGTTATGATTGAAAGTCTGTATCAGCACAGAATTTTCCCCAAACAATACATTACCCAAGCAGTAGATGCAGAGATAAGAGTTACTATTATCATAAAAGAAAAAATCTTCTTTATGCTTTTGTTCTCGCTTCACATTTGCTATTACTGTAGAAATCAGCATATGAAAAAGGACAAAGAAAAACTCCTTTGAGGTGACTCTGTACTGCCTTTTCTCTAAAATGCCCTTTTCTAGCGTTTTTTTGTGGATTGCATCCTTGAATGCGACATTATAAAACAGCATTGTATTTTGCCCCATTTTTGAAACAATGCTCTATGACTACAATACTGACTAGATGCCATAGCTATGCAATGTTTTTCTAGGCTCAACAGGAGTTCCATATTGTAGTTCCTGTGATCTATATATGATCTAGATATGATTTATAAAATAAGTGAAGTAGTGGAAATTGTCAGAACTGTCCTTCTAACACCTTTAAACAGCATTTAGGAATGAAGAGAGTCCATAAATCTTAGAAGTAGATGAAGACAACTTAAGTAAAGTGTTAGCAGACAATGCCCAATCCAGGTCTAAAAACACTCTCCATAAAATTATTAGAAGATTTGCAAATTATCCAAAAGGAACAGAAGTGGTTCCACCCCATATTATGTTGTACATTAATTTTAAGCACAAGTGTACAATTATTTATTTACTTACCACTGCTGGGGTTTTGCTTTTTTTTTTTTCCTTTATCATCCTCTTTGACTTCCACTTTCTCCTTTGAAATTGAAGACAAGGACTGCTTTCACATAGCAAAAATACAGCCTGGTGAATTGAAATGTTAGGGATTTTTTCCACCTAGCAGTAGAAGGCCCCACATGTCTCTAGTACTCAGATTGTTCTTCTCATTGAGAAAATGGATTGATTATCTTCTGATGAAAAGTTTTTCTCCTTTTTCTGACACAGCTGGAATTCAGCACTGACAAAAGTCAACTTCAAACTGGATAGCAGATCCTGAGAGGCTGGAGAGCTTTGAAATGTTAATAAATGTCAAGTGGTGAGGTAAAACAACAAAATTTTAATCTTCAGAACTTCATTCTCAAGCTAAATGTCATTTGAGCCATGGCATAAAATAAGAAACATTTGATAGGTGTTTATCAGTGAACAGGTTTCAAGAACACTAAAGAAAATCCAGAGAGAGTGATAGAATGTATTTCAAATTAAATTAGCTACCCTATAATTTCTACTTTAATTTGGTAAAATGTAAAGACAAATAAAATGCAATACAGCTATGTTAAAGGTTAACTGAACCAAAGCTTTCATCACCCACTAACTTCTGTTATTACCATCATAGCTGGAAGTGGGTTGTGTAGTGCTAACAAAAACGACAAGAGTCCATCAGAAGGAGCCTTCTCAATTATCATCAGCTCATTTAGTGCCACCAGCAGCAGAGGGTGCTGAGCCTCAGAGCCTGAATGACAAGATTCTGATCCAGGAACTCTAAGAGAGAACCTTCCCATTTACTTAATTGGCTATTATGCCCTTGGTATGTCACAGCTTTAAATCATATGCCTTATAGTAAGGAAATCAATGGGACTAAAATTTTGCAGTATTTCAAGGTGTATTTACTAGGTTCAGAATCACACACCTTACTTCCAAACATTTTCACTACCATGATCTATTTCTATTCCTTCTAAAATATTGCATTTTATACCTCCCATTTAAATGGATTGCTCATCATCATGCAAAGATTGTATAGAAAGGAGGTTGTGAAAAATCTGTTTGATTAATTCTGAGACAGAAGAAGCACTCATTTTCTCAAAGCATTAAAAAAGTTTCTAAATGTTCCCTTACTTTTTACTCCATATACTCCAAACAGATGTGTGTTTAAAACTTCATGCTATATAAAGTTTATGTCCCTGTTGAGATTTCCATAAAATTTATGCCTGTTGAGATTTCTCTTTTGACCAAATCCAGTTGAATAATAAAATCTTACAAAACTAAAATTGTGCAGAACTTCTAGAGTAATTTCCTATTTTTATGCATCTCTAATCTAATAATTTTATAGCAGCACATTGTGATCCAGATAAACTCTAATGACATTTGATAGACTTTTTTATAAATCTGTATACTATATGCCAGCACAGGAGTTTTTTTCTTTTTGAGTCCCTGTAAGCTACTGAATTGCAAAAGAGATGCTAATTTGATAGACACATAAGGGCTATGAAGTTTGCATCACAAAAGTGAGGAGTAAAACTAAGAATCCTAGCTGAATTAAAGGAAAAAAAATCCCAGATCTGAAAACTGTTACATATTTAATAAAAATGTCACAAAATCCTTGCTGCCTTCTGCTATGAACTAAAAGTTTTCCATGTTAACATCACTCTCTTTTTCAATCATCAAAGAGCTGGTGATATGAACAAATGGAGATTTCATGTTGACATTTTACACATGTAAGATTTAAATTATTTCCAGTGAAATAATATTTGCCAAGATTAGTGTAGACTTTCTACCAAGATTCTAAAAGCTAACAAGATACTTTATGTCACTGAAGTTATTCTCAAATGACAGCACAAGTCTCTGGGGCTGGATCTTGGCCGTGCAACTTAGATAAGAGTTGAAGAAATTCTTCCTGCAGGCAGAGCTGTAATGTACTGTTTCATTACTAAAGTGGTGCCAGATATGCTCAGAATATCAAACAAAATCACCCCATGGGTGTTTTCTGCACCAAAACTAGTCAGTAGAATGTGGGAGTGAAAATGTTGGAAAGAAATTAAAAATGTCTTCCATTTGGCAAGGAAAACTCAAAATGCAGAGACTTGTCTCCGAACAAAAAGAAAGACAGTAATTCCTTCTGACCAACAAAATAAGTTGTGCTTAAAATAAAGGATATCAGCACTTTACATATTTTTAAATGTTAAATTTTTAATTTTAAATTGGTATAAAAATAAAAATCACTTATATTACTGAGCTGAATTTTATCTTATGATAATATGAAATTAATTTTAAAAATGAAGGCTAGGATTGGGCTTGTATAGTAACCAAGGGTTCAACTGTAACTTCTGAAAATATTATTTTTGCTTTGATCATTGGGAAAATAGGCTTACATTAGATTACTTATCTTCTCTTCCATTGTTTACTTCTCTTTTCAAACTTATATGGGTAGCCTAAGTATGGAACATTAAATTTTCTTTAAATTACTGATTTTTAAAACAAAGACAAAGAGTAGATGACTTGTGTTAAAAGGCTCCTCTAGCACAGAGAAATGAGAATGAAGCTCTCCTTACCCAGTATAAATCAAATTTTTGGCTTCACTAAAGATAGTGGAAATCATTCACTTTCAATAAACTGATTTTTCCTAACTGAAACTTTCACTGAACTCAGAAAAAAACCAGGATCTAGAAGAAGGATATGACTAAAGTATGAATCAGACACTGCAGTTTCACAAGTAAAATCTCAGATGAAAAGTGTTTTCATTTAGTGATGCAGTTGATCCAACTGAATGGTTCATTTAATGAGATAAATTAATCTAGCATCTTTGAACAAGAAAAACACCTATTTTTTTCACAATAGCTGTTGATGTTTTTCACACAAGTATTTTTACATCCAACTAAACTAAATACCAAGTAATTGCTTTCCTGTAAAGCCACCATTTTTTAAATAGCTTAGTCTGTTTATTATGTACCTTCCTGGAGGACTGACTCAAGAATGGAAAACTTAAAAGATCTAAATAACTCGATGTTGCAGATGCTGCATGTAGCAGCACAAGACTACCCTGATAGGCCCAGTCTTTGTCTGCCCACATTTATGCAAGAAGCTTTTAAGTCCTTCCAGAGGTCTGAATATGATTGGTACTCACAGTTGTAGCATCCTTCTCATTGGGATAAAGAAGACTTGAACCACAGTTTTCCTTTATCTGAGAATGATGGGATGAAATGTTGCTGCACAGAGTTGATCAGGCCTGTTACTTTGGTAAATAAAATCTAAGCAGTCTCATTCTTTCCATTTTTTCATCATGGGCTTCTTAATTTATCTCTGTTCTCCCAGCTAGGATTCATTGCTTGAAGGGGATAGCAATTTTCCTTTTTTTCCCCATAGTGACCTTGTTTGGAGATTGTGGATCAGCACAATTCCTTTTCCTGGGAAAGAAAATGGATGGAAGCAGCAACTCCTGCTTTTTCTGGTAGCTGATGTTCTTACCTTGCTGCTCTTACCTTACCTGTGCCACACGATTGGCAGGTGTTTGCCAGGCTGTGCACTGTTTTAATAGGTATGTGAAGGAGGTAACAACATGGATTTATGTTGTGTGGAGATACATACTAATATAAATACAGCACAGAAAAAAAATTAGAAGTGCTGGACATGGTTTGACAATGGTGTTAACTGGGAGAAGAAAAATGGTGGGTGAACACTGAGGTATGGCTATCACAGGAGCAGTCAGGCCAACACATGGAGGTAGACAGCCCAAACAACACTGATGCACAATCATTAAAATACAGACCCAGTACACCCCAATGAGCCCACCCACCTGTCCATTCCAGTGCATCTTCATGGTTTTTGTTTTACATAAATTGAGGGTGATTAGGATATGCTGAGATCTCATGGTTTTGTTTTGCTTTTTATAGCCAAGGTGTGATTAAGATGGCTCTGAAGTGCCAGATGGGAAAAGAAGTGGTGGATTCAAGGGTAACACAAAGGCAGAGAGCTGGTAGGACTCCAGCATTTTCACTGAATTTTGAGGTGAGATGGGAACAGAACTAAACTGGAACTAAACTCACTGTGGACAGAAATGAAAGGCAGCAAGTGATAAAGATGTAAAGTGATCATCAAAGAGTAAAGAGAGATGATCCTAAGGTAATGATGAAGAGCAGTGGAGTTGGGAATGTAAGACTTCACATCAAGTGCTGAGCCACAAATGAAGAGATATTTTCAGATCAGATATAGACTTCTATGTTCAAAAGAGTTTTGAATGGTGCAGCTTTTATCCTTTGTATAAGCCTGTATACTTCAGCTGTGCTCTCTCAGCTGAAATATCTTTGTGGTATCAGGCAGATTAACACATAAAGTAAAAGACAGACCAAAAAACCCAAATTTTGTCTGTAGGACAGTGTTCTGTGAAGTATTAATTATGTCCTTTGGAGCTGGACATAAACAGAATGCTTTTATTTCGTGGTTAAAGAATTTATCTGTCCTAAAAACGTTTGCAAATTTGGGAATAGGTATGAGCAAAAGTCCTTTATATTCTTCTTCTAATTATACTACCTTTCTGTGTTTCTTTTCTTTGTCTGATTTTTTTGAGGGGTGTGGGAGGGTGTGGGGGCTAACAATTTCTCTTTAACATGAAATCTTCCTACTTTCTCTTATTCCCTTTTACTGGCTACATTGTTGATAAGCTCAAGAGAATATCTCCAGCATAAAAATTGAGAAAAATTGAAGGATGAGGTGCAAACATTTACCAGAGTCTTTTTTTTTTCCAAGCTGTTTTTAGAATTTTGAAGATAGAAAAAGTTTAAATGAGGATGATTTACAATATGAACTTCCTGAGTTTTTTAAATTATGCTGCAGAGAGTTCTTGACAAATTGCAAAGACCATATTTCCTGGAGCAGAGAAAAAAGGTTTGGTGTGGCTGTTCAACTATCATGTAAAAATAAAAGTATATCCATAATACTGTATCCATGGAGAGTAAAAAAAAACAGACCACAAAACTATAAACAATATTTCAATGCACTATGATAAGAAAACCTCATTTTAAAAAAGTATGTAAGAAATAACCATACTGTAAACATAGCTGTAGATCACACTCATTGCACCAGTCAAAACAAAATTATCGAGAAAATATAATTCTTAGATTTAGTTTAAGGCAAACATGAGGTTAATTGCATGAAGCTAGGATTGGTAGCTCAGATAATCCTCAGTAATTTACTGTGTTATACAATATTAACACATACAACTGCGCAAATTTAACCCTAATGTCCTTTCCATAAAATTTAAAGCTTGTTTGAACTTCCTTCTGGTTTTAAACAAGTGGATTTCTAATAATGAAAAATACTGATAAGAAAGGAAAACTATTTACTCCCAGCAGCAACCCCTTTTTAAAAATATTTTGAGTTTCATAGATCACATTAAAATATTCTATTTTGTGATAAGAAGCAAATATTATCTTTACTGTTTGCAGTATAGTGGACTAGGCTGTTATTCACACTGACTACAGAAAGAATTCAATTACTGGAAATTAAATATTTTAATTATAGTACTTTATCTGTGTTTGAATTCATTTTTGTTTATATTTGAATAGATATAATTTGACCCTGTTACTCCAGTATACGTGTATTTTTTACTTACTTACTTATTTTATGTTTCTCCCTCCTTTTTCTGTGGTAGAATTAGATATTTTTAAAAGAAAAGAAGGATGCCCATGCAATATAATTATTAATATCCATGTCTTCTCCAGTTCAGTTCTTTCAGCTAACACTTCACTGGAAAAATCTTAATTTTATTGTGTACTTGTCTAGGAGGGACTAGACAAACATCCTGTTACAGTGGGATTGAGGCACTTAGATATAATTATACAGCAACTTTAAAAAACAAGTTCAGCATTTTTCTGTGTGAACAATATAATTAATTCAAAAGTAAACTCATATTTAGATTTTTCCTTATTTTATACACTATCTCCAATATTAAATATCTATAAATATACACACAAGTGTCTGCATGTATATGCATTTCTATTAGCAAGACTTTAATTCTACTTTTATTTTATAAAGGACGCATGGGTGCATCTGTTTTAAGCAGGGACGTGGCAAATATTTTAACATATACTTTAAAAAGGGAAGATGAACTAGGACTTGGAAAGTTTAAGGAAAAAAACAGTGAAGTTTAAGGAAAAGAACAGTGAAATCATATGAACTTGTGAAGGGATACTGATCTGGAAATGAACTATTAGTGCATGCTGCAAACCCAAGTGACTGAGGGATGACTCAATGACTCTCAATGGCTGCAGAAGAGAGAGGACTGTTTTTCAGCTAATATGTGGAAACAAATTATTCAAGGTAAAAAAAAAAAGGTTGTAAAATACCTTGTAAATATAAAAGTAGTCAAATACTTGAAACCCTTCTTCTCATGTCACTATTATGTCACAGTTTTAGAAATCAGATTTTCTGTATTTTAATTATGCAAATATATATTTAAATAACTCATATAGATCACCTTATTTTTTATGTCAGTCTTTTGGGTTTTCTTTTTTCCCTATGTACTTATAGTTTAGGAACATATTTGGAATTCTTTACAATTTTTCTAGTAAATCTAGCAACGTTTTTAAGCAGAAAAACCTAACAACCATGAGTGACGCAAGATAATTCAGAAGGATCTGAGCTTTGTTTTGGAAGGGAACTTGAAAGATAGACTTTAAATAGATAATGATACTATGATTTTATGCATGGCTATTGAGTTCTTAGATGAGGAGGCTTTCAACTTTACATACTAGTGGCTCTTCAAACTATAGTAATTCTATAAAAATGTAACCTCTCAATTTTGATTTTGGTGTTGGTTACTAATACTTACAGCTTGAATTACAGACATAACTTCATCTTGCATAAGGAAATGTTTTGTGTCTGTATTTCTAAAGTTGGAACCCAACCATAAGATTTGTGTAACTGATAAAAATCTGCTATTCTACTGTACTGAAGCAAATTTCCTAATAAATGCCGTTGAAATAAATTAGTTAAGAGTACAGAATGGAATACCTAGATTATCGCAAACCTTTTAACCGAAATTAGGTGATCAGCCTATTATGAATTCATTTAAATCTTTAAAAATTAATGTATTCTGTTCAGAAATTGAGGGATGAGAGACAGTTGTTTCTCTGCTCTATCTGTGTTTCAACTTCCTAGAAACTACAATCTCCTGAGGACTGGTAAATTAGATAAAAGAAAACATTGCATTAAACTCAAGGTACGAAATTATTATACATTATTTTATGTATTTTTATATAAAAGTTACAAGTAGCAAGCATATGACACAGAAATGGAACAGTAACAGCAATAACTGTGAATGCATGCTTTTTACAATGTATCTAATAAAGGGATTTTTGCCAACTCAAATATTCAGTAACATACATGCAGATTAATTTCTCAATGTCAAATTCAGTCATATTGCTTGATGCTTATCCAACAAACGTTTCTATTGAAGTGATTATGAATGGCTAAATACCTGATTTCAATAAATTGTTCCTGAAATTGGGAATTTTACTTGCAACAAAAAGAAGAGAGAAAAACAAAAAGATAAATGACTGATAAGCATAATAACCAAAGTCTTATTGCCTTCTAGTAATTTTACTCAACACTGCTGAATTTTTTCATGATAAGAGAATAGCTGGTCAGAGTCCATAAAACCTCTAGCTGGTGTTTCCAAGGACGATAGTTTCACATTTCACTGTAGCATGTTCAAAATCACCCAGGAGCGCACTATTCTCAAGCAGTCTATATAATGAAAACAACGTACATATAACAAAAATTCAATGTAAATCTTCTTCCACATATCACACAACATAGAAGTAAATAAAAGACATAGATCAACTTAAAGAAAACTATTACTTAAAATAAATAAATAAATAAATAAATAAAAGGACAATCTCAGGAACTAATTTCCTCCTAAAGTTTCCAGTGAATCTGCAAATATATTTAATAACTAAGGAGCACTTTGTGGCCAGAAACCAGATTAAAAAAGAAATGTATTTTTGTACAATGGGAATATCTTGCTAAGGAGGTAAGATATGTCTATACCTCTTAGGTTTGCATAAAGGCAATTAAATTAAATTGGAAGATTGTCCACTCCCTCTTTCAGACAGCTGAGATAGTTCAGTATAGATTTTTCCATTCAGAGTTTGCATTACTGGATAAATAGTTTTCTGAAATCAAAACTAAGTTAAAATATGCTCTCTCTGAAGAAAAAAAAAATGCAGAAAAATATTTACTTAAGCCATCTACAGGCAATAAAACCATTAACGGATTATTTCACTATAAAATTGCTTTACACATATATACACATAAAAATGTATATACCCATATCTCTGTTTATATATACACATATATAAACTGACAGACTAGCAGTTATCCGTAGCTCCATTATAAACATCTGAACTTATGTTTATTAAGTACTGATAAAAATTATGCAAAATGAAAGTCTTAGAAAATACTCCAGAAAGTAAGTTTAATTTGAAACATTAACCTTAGTGCTACAGAACCTCTAAATTTATCAATACCAACAACACACTCTTCCCCCAACACTTCACAAGATTGGGTGAAAAAAAAATTAACTGAAAACATATAGTTCCACATCTTACTGACTTGAATTAAATGGCCAAGTTTTGCATTCTATTTCACATGCTGTGGCTCTAACATTTATTTCCATAAATAATAATTAAGAAAGAAATAAATGAAATGCAAACGCCATGCAAAGCACATGACTATTATGCAGCTGGAATTAAGAGAGTTCTTACTAAGGGCTGACTGCAATTCTGTCAAGAATAAGGAATTAACAGATTTAGTTTAGTTTGCAATGCTAAAGTGGTCATTTGGCTTTCAGTTTTTTTATCATTCAAACCTGTTTCCATATAAGATGACATACAATTTGAGACCTAATATGCATTTTAGCAATGTAACAAATAAAATGGAAAGCAACAGATGGTTCAATTGCTGTATAGATATATTTACTTACCTCAGGCTTTTCTCTTAGACCCTAGTTGTGTTGTACTCAGACTCATGTTTGCTTAGAGACCCAATGAGGCAGAACCTGGAATGTTACGGCTATTTCATTCAAAATAATAGTGTTTGCATAGAAGAAAATAAATATATGCATATAGATACTTTATAAACAGTACACTTTGATAATCTGATAGTTACTCATGAAGTAATTGACATAGACATGCAATTGGATTAAAATAACTAAAAACCTGTCTTTTTTTTTAAGATAAAGAAATTCCTTAATGTGCAAAGAAAATATGGAGGGCATGTAAACTATAAGAAGAAATGCATAAATAATGCATGCAAGAGAAAACACAAATATATTAAAAAAGGGTTATGTATTCTTTTTCAAATAAATTGTTCATAATTTTTTTCTTTTTCTTTTACTTGTAAACTTTTAATCATTCATATTTACAGTGATTCAAAGTGCAATATACAGAAAAAATAGCTTTTTTTAAAAATATTATGCTTGATTTTTCTTTTTTTTTATTGAATAGAAATATTCCCTTTAATTCATTTTTATATGTAAATATATATGTGTTCATTATGTGGTCTCATGTTCTAATCTGTCTATCCATGTTTATTTGACAAACCAAAATACTGTGATCAATAATGGAACAGATACAGTAAAGTTTTGGAAATACTGTAATTCATTACAGAAAAGGTAATGTGCCATGAGGAAAGGGGTTTCCTTGCCTCAGGACTGTGTTCCTCATTCTTGTTTCATGCCTCAAAATGGATACATGTATCTTTAATTTATTGATGAATTTATTTAGAGATGGTTAGACCAACAGCGGGTGATATTCAAGGCCACTTCAGTTACAAGGAAATGTAATGTGGCTGTTCCAAAAATCTAAATTCACAGTCTTCTTTGGTTTTTAAAAATTGTACCTGTTCTCTGCTGACCTGTGTGTATATGTATAGGGGTATATGTAAAACAGTAAAAGAAAAAGAAAGAAAGAAAGTAGAAATGTAACACAGAGATACAGGATCCTTCAGGAAAGAGGAGCAGAGATGAGAAAGAAAGACAGAAATAGATAATATAATGGCATGTGCTATCAGGAAACAGAAATTTAAACAATTAATAAAGAAGAAAAAAAATATGTCTTTAATGATCAAAGAGTGAATGTGTTTGGGCAATCAAGTCCTTACACAATAGTTAGTCTTCATCAAAAATCTATTGATACTGACCGCTGAACAGCTTTATCATGTCTGGACAGCCTGTGACTTGTGGTTGGCACCTCTTCGATTTCGTCTATCTCGCACGCATCAGCAGCATCTTGTGAGTAGCTATGCTTCATGACAAGGATGTTTCTCCTGTTCATGGGCTGAACAAGTGGTTTTACAGGCTGGGGTTGTATTTCTGTCAAGACAGAAGGATCTCTTGTGCTGAGGTTACTACGGCTGCCCTTAAGACTAGACACTTGTGATCCACAGTGATGGTCATGAATGCATTTTGAAGAGGATCTCCGCAGTTTATGATAATTTTCAAAGTCATCTGCAACGTCAGCAAGGTCAGCTGTAGTCCCTGTCCCTCTAAGGGTGCATAACTCATAATGAGGAGGCTCAAACACCTCCTGGAACACTGTTTGATCAAAGTCTGCTTTCCTTTGGACAAATTTTTTACGAGGCTGCTTGATCTGTACTATAATAGAGATAACAATGAGGATGATCACAATGCAAGACGTCACCCCAATTATAGTCCCACTGGTATTGGTAAGTTGGTCCAATAGGTTTGCTTTTCTTTTTTCTGTGCAACAGGGAATAAAAAAAAAACAAAAAAAGCACAGCATTAATTGCAGTTCAAGAATACAAACAACTATGATGGGTTCACAGATTACTTCAAGGCTGAGCCTAGTCTATTTCTAAGTTCACTTAATCAATCTCACCAACAAAGAAGGGGAAGAAAGATATTTGTGAAAGCCAAATAAGCAACACACAAATTCTTTATGTGCCTATTCTCTTGGAAACTTATTTATTCAGGGTATCTTGCAAGTTTAATTAAACCAAATAATTATTTTATTTTTTTATAAAAAACAAGCAGATGGCTTCAGTGTCACCTCTGAACTCCATTTGTCTGCTAAAGCCCCCAAGACTTTTACAGATGTTGTCTTCATTATTTTCTCTCTCTCCCAGTAAATATATGCAGCTAGGACATTAGGTTCTATGAAAGAACAAGATTTTACAGGATTTAAGTCTAATATTTGCAAGCTGAGTAGGAATTTTGGCAGCATTCAATGAAAAAGCTAAATCAGGATATTTCTGTTTCCCCTCTCCCCCATTAATTACCAAAACTTTTCTAAACAGGCATAAAAATCCAAAAGCTGATCATACCTACTTCCCTTTGCTCAAAAGCCTCTAATAAGTTAGTCAGCAAATTCTGCGTTGTGAATAAGGCAGAAAAAATGAAGTAAAATAATAAAATAAAACGAGTTTCCCCTCCTCTTGTGCATCTTTCTCTGCGATTGGCTTTCACAAGGCTGCAGGCACAAGATGGTGACTGAGCCTTGTAGCAATTCAAGTTGAAAGTGTTTGCATCAGTCTCTCTCAGGCATAGCAAGACAACTGTGGTTAAGTTTCAACACCCAGTTTAGTGTAAGTTTTCCTAGCAATGCAGGACATATAAAAGGAATTAAGAAAAAGCCTTTGAAATGGAAATTATTGGCACCAAAACAGCAGCATTCATCTCTTCAAAATCTCCTAGTTACCAAAACTTAAGTCTTCAGTAGATCATTGTCTAAGCTTGCAGATTCACTCAGTGTTTCTCTAATTGACTGACACAGACTCTGGAGAAAAAGCAGAGTTAGGAAAAGCAACACTGCAGCAAACAACATTTTTGCTGGAATCAGCAAACCTCCTTTCTGTAGTCAGAAAAAGAAGAAAGGATAAATGCACAAGACCTGATAAAAGATACTTGATGAAGGAAAGATAAAAATCATTCTGGAAATTGAAGAGGGATGAAGGTTTTCTGTTTTCCTCTATTGTGAAGAACTAGAGAATGAATAATAATTTCCCAATTGTCTGTTTAGTTTCTTTGAAGAATATTATGCTATGCCACAATTTAGCTGTGTTCTTTTGAAGTGTATGTTTTCATTTGTGTTTTACCCTATTTCACTGCTTGTCAGGATTCTACAGGCTTCAGTAGATTTATGGGCTGACTGCTAATCCACTTCATTCTGAATTTTTTTCTTGATTGGTTCCTAAATTTGGCATATCCCATGCTTTCAGGAACAAATCTGCAGTAAGGGGGAGACAGGGGGATACAAGACAGAAGTGAACTCTCTCCCTAGCCTGCAATGTAAGTTTGCTAAGCTCTTTTCCCTGAAGACAACACAGATGCTGTTTTGGGGCTTGTTTGTGTGGTTTTTGTAACAGAACCACAGAAATATTTAGAAATCATGGATAGGAACATCACTCCCTGCCTATGAAATAAAAATTACATCTGATTCCCAGATGTAGTATTTACAAGCTTGTTCCTTGCACTCAATTTCACAAGATTTTAGGTAGATTTGGTTGCTTTCTTACAGTGTTAATTCCACCTTCCTTTATAAGACTACTATTATGGGCATAGCATGCAGCTAAAAGACACCTGCTACTCTTATATTACTCCACTACAAAGGAAACTATGGCAAAGGAACCAAAATATTACATTTAATTATACTTTAGGTTGTATGGAAAGCAGAGACCAAGTGATCAGAAAGCCTCCTAGAAGTGCATAAACAGACAGCAGGACATAACCAATGCAACATCAGAGGAAAAAAAAGAAAACACTGAAAGTAAAATCCACTGGCATTTTTTTACCTTCCTTCATTTTCTCTATTGCTTAATGTATGGTCTCTCTGAATTACTCTTCTGAGCTTTCACCCATTTGGCACATACTTAACAAGAAACTGAAGATTATGTGCTGTATCTCATGCAGTGCAAATGACAACTTTTTCAATTCTACATGTTACCTTTGCAGTGGTTTTCATCCCAGGGATACACACAGTTCTGGAGTCCATTGCAGACCAGTGTATTATTTATACACATATTACTGTGGCAAAAGAATGTGTTGGCTTCACAAGGGGCTAAAAATGAGAAAAATGACAATGGATATTAAATTAGCAAACCATTCAGCCCTCCTCTACAAACACATCTAGGAGTGGACATGTATTCTATAATAAGACAAAGCTATACAACATGTATTCCTTGTGCATATTAAATATTTGACATGCAACATGGACAGCAGTCAAGCCATAAACTCTTTTATTATTCTGTGGCAGGAAGTTCTCAGTTTTGCCTAAAATGACTGAATCTTCCCCTAGTATGACTCTCTTGGACGTAGCAGGTTGGATTCTAAACATTGTTGGGAAGTCACCAATGTGTTATCAACAGTTTAACCACAGATCCAAAATATATCACCCTATGGGCTGCTATGAAAAGAGTTAACTGTATCCCAGACTGATCCAATGAGTGACAGATAACATCTTCTAAAGTTTTTGCTAAAACCTCAATTTTATAGGAAAACTTTTGTGACTCAAAGAAGATATGTACTTGACGGCACATATCAATGGTGTCTGACCAGCTATACACAGAGAAAGTAAAATTATTTTAAAAACCTTTTAGTCATAAAAAAGGCTACAGTCAAGAAGCACCCTTTTGATCACAAATATGAAGATAAAGAAGCACAACAGTCTTCAGTGTCCCTGAAGCACATGGCCCGTAAGAATCATGCAGATTAAAGTTGCAGGAAAATGGTTTTACTGAAGTTGCAGGAAAATGGTTTTACTGATGTCTCTGTTTTATTACTATGAAGAAATTGCCTGAAAACCTTTGGAAGGTACTGAAGATGCTGCTAAACTGTGGTGTTTATGGAAGTATTGGGAGATCATTAGGTGTTGGGGCTGAGAAGCTATTGCTCCAAAAGTGCATAATATAGTAGAAATAAATTACTCCTCATATCTCTTCTTTAAAAGAGAAAGACTTCCGTAACTTAGAAGAGCTACAAAATTTGTCAGTGTTAAATTGTCAAAAATCAACTCCTTATTTATTTATTTTTTATTTCAAGCAATCCAAAAGTGTTATTAGAATTATTTTTAAGGGAGAGATAAATAATAAACTAAGACCTAACTAATCAGAAAGCAGTTATGATGCTCCTATTACAGTATTACTGATACTTTGAGTTTGATACTTCACAGAAATTGTTCTCCTCTGCAACTTTAGAAGCAGTTCCTATGACAACATAAATGCATAGCAGAGAGAATTGTTTCGTGGCTTGCAAATGAAGGACAATACAAAGGATTTGTATGACTCAATAGATCATGTCAATAAATCTACTTACCAATAAGTGTTTAAGTTAAGATATCCATAACTGGCACATTTGGAGCAGTTATGGTGTGTTAAGCAAAGAATAAATGCCAGAAAAATCAAAAAGCACACCCCAAATATGTAACCACTCACTCAGATAAAACACTATATATACAATCTATCTCTTAGCCAGAAGACATCAAGCAGCCTGTCCACTGTTCAATTTTTGTTTTCAAATCTGGGATATCATCTCTTGAAGTGCAGGTAGTCTGGTCACATTTTAAGTTTGTTACAGAAAAGATTCTACTTTATGCTGGGCAGATCAGAAGAGCACATGTGAATATTAGAAAGGGAGGATATTTAGGGACAGTCCTTATCTATCTGTTGCTGTCATTTGGGGACAATGAAGGCTGAGCCTGGAGGATGCTGTGCCACATCCTGATGTGACACATCACGTAGATAACACATCAAAGGCATAATCGTCCTTTCACGCTCTGGCTGCAATCCCTGTTACCAGGCAAGGTGAGGATCTTTTAGGATGTTTCCCACATGCAAGAACAGTCTCACTGCCTACTCTGAGTAAAAAGAAGTGAGAAACCTAAGAAGATCTAAAGAGGCATCCATTCAAAATACAAAGTGTATCCAAAAAAAAAGACTCAAATGTCAAACAGAGAAACTTCACAAAGTGATGCAGGAAAAATGGGGAAATGTTAAAAACCAAAAGCAAACAAACAATCATTTGCAGGATTAATATAAGTTATACGATGAAGCCCACAAAAAAAAAAAAAAAAAAAAAAAACCAAACAACCAAACAAACACAAAAAACCCCAACCAAAATGCCAGAAAACATTCCAAGTGGAATGAAGGCTCTTAGAAGTGAAGTCAGAAGGACAGAGTGCTGTCTGAATTCAGAGGTATAATGGTGATAAGTAGAAAAGAAGAACTGAAAGAAGGCAGTAAGGAAGTGAAAATAAGACAAAGAAAGAGAGGCATCTAAGGGGAAAAAAAAGTGTCAAATGGTTATTTTATTCTGCACTAAAAGAAATAGTGAGATTTTCTATCAAATGAAAAAAAAATTAGAAAAATTTTCATAGATGAGAGAAAATAAAGAGCAATAAAAAAGACCATTTTTCAGATTAAAGAAGGAATAATTCTACAAAAAGGTGACAGGGACATCTGGAAATGAAAAGCAACAGAAAGGAGGAAAAAAGAATGGAAATTTAAGTTTTCTTAAATTGTGCTATTGAATGGTGGAGGAAAAAAATGGTATGTGAATAAATGTCAAAACAAGATGAATAGTGAAGCAAAGCAATTTCAGAACATCACAGCAAACTTAGCATGAGAGAAACTCAAATGTAAGATTCAGAAAACTAATGACGAACAGCCCCCCCTTGTTCATGTTCGTAAAATTAAAATAGCCAGGTTCTCTATGTGGTCCCAAGAATGCAGAGTGATTAAACTGGACAAGAAGTCAATATGTTTTCCCTATTCTAATTAAGGTATTTTGTTGGAATGAATGAAAGCATAAAGGGTAGCTGAAAACTTGTCAGTCCTGTTATACGTTGGAAAAATTTGCTTTCTTGCCCAAAAAAAAGGCTCAGCAAAGGACTCTTGGGATGCTACATCAAGGTCATTCTAGTAATACAAAAAAGATAAATGAACTGATGGAAAACCAGGTTCTTTCACAGCAAGATGGATCTTGTCCTGATGCAGTCTTAAAGCTGTTACAGAACCCAGCACAACAGTGGAATCAAGCAGTATGTGACAGCAAGCTTGTAGATGTTTTCACAAAAGGAAACTACTGCTATCATTAACTTCAACTAGATAAAGCAGCACAAACCTCTCCACACACCAGAAGCCGTCCTGTATCACTCCATGGTCTCACCCATCACTATATAAATGCCCTTTATAAGAGAGGAGAGCAGGAATGCAGAGAGCTCGCCCTGGTGAGGAGCCGAGTGACTTTTTGGTCATGATTAGTGGAAAGCCCAGTGGAAAGCTACCAACACTGTAATTTGTGTCTGGACTACTTGATGAGGAACAAGCAGTCAATGAAACCTTCAGGCAGCTGGAAGAAGACTCACAATCACAGGCCCTGGTCCTAATGGGGATTTGAACCACGTAAAATCTGTGGAGGGCAACATAGCCGGGTACAAGCAAGCCAGGAAGTTTCCAGAGTGCACTGATTACTTCCTGACACAGCTAATCACAGAGTTGATGAGGGTAGCTCTTCTGTTCCTCATACTTTTATAAACAAGAATCATTTGGGAAGGTGAATGTCAGGAGCATGAGATGATGGAGTTTGGGATGCTTCAAAGAAGGAACAAACAAAAAAGCACAGTCAAAATTCTGGGCCTCAGAAGAGCAAAAGTTCACTGTTGAGGGGTATGGGGGGACAAATGCCATGGGAGGTGGTCCTGGAAAGATACAAGTTCAAGGAGAGTTGGTTGATTCTGTAAGATCACCTCCTCCAAGCTCAGCAGTTGAATATCTGGAGTGCCCAAAAATCAGGTGAAGGTTGTAGTTATCCTGCATGGATGGACTATGATCAAGTCCATCTAACTTTGACTAAGCACAAAGTTAGAAAGGATACATATAAGTGGTAGCAGTAGGGCAGCATGATCCCAGCAGAAATATGACTTCTCTGAGTGGAAGGAGCTAAGGTTAAGGAAGGTTCAATCAACTGGACAGACATGAACTCCTGGGTCCTTATATGGTGCCCCCAGTAGGTGACTCACATCACTGAGAAGCCACTCTTGGCTATCTCTGAAAAGTCCTGCTGACTGAAACCTCAATGGGCTGGGTAAACTGGATCTTCAAACCGATTAACAAAGGGAAATGTAAAGTCCTGTGCCTTGGGAGGAATGATTTCATGCACCGGTATGTGCTGGGGACTGACCAACTAGAAAGCAAGCTAGCAGAAAAGGTTCTGGTACGCAATAAGGTCACCTTGAAAATCACCTTGAGCCAGCAATGTGCCCTTGTGGCCAAGAAGGCCACCACCATCCTGGACTACATAAAACGCAGAATCGTCAGCAGGCTGAGAGGTTTGATGCTTCCCTTCTATTTAGCACTGGAGAGACAACATCTGCAGTGTGTCAGGTTCTGGGCTCCTCTGCACACAAGGGACAGAGATGCTTGCAGTGAAATTTAATAGAATAGAAAATAGAATAGAAAATTCCCTTTGAATGCAAGAACTAACTTTTACTTTGAGGCTGGTCAAACACTGTGCAATAGCTGGTTTGCCAAGTGAGGTTGAGGTGTTTCCATCACTGAAGATATTCAAAACCCAGCTGGGCACAGCCCTGAGCCACCTGCTGCAGCTGACCCTGCTTAGAGCAAAAGGATTGGACTAGACCATATTCTGGAGTCCCTTCCATCCCTTCCATGGCTCTTAAAAAACCCCTGACTATATTTAGAGCAAAAGTAACAGCTGGGAACACACAATTGTATTATTTCTCCTGTGCCTCAAAGCTGCCTTGAGTCAAGCTCTACCAAGGTACTGGCCTAGAAGTGAGATTAGCATATTCAGCACAATGAATAATTAGTAATAATTATAACACAACTGAGAAAATTAGAACTACACATATAATTCAACCTGATATATTTTGATAAAGTCTCTAATAAATTCTTTGATTTTTACAGGACTAAAATACTATATTCTAAATTAAATCAATAATTAAAGAAATATTTTAGTAGAGGTTCTTTTTGTAGTTTGTAATTGAAACAATAATTACTTTTATATAAAATAACTGTTTTTATAATATCATAAATACAATAT